GTAAGTCGGGGACTGCCTGTACTGACTTCCCCTTCCTTGAAAGATGAGCCTCATCCCTCCTTAGCAGCCCTTTTTGGAATAGCTTCCCATGGTTGAGGAAGCCAAAGCCCTCGTGGCGACACCATCTTCGCAGCCAGGCGTTCACCTCCAGGATGCACCTGTCTCTGCCTGGACTCCAACCTTTGACAGGAAGGAGCGGAGAGAATACCACCTGTTCTCCAAACTCCTTCACCTGTACTCCCAGAGCCTTGCAGTCACTTTAGATCCACTCAGTGTCACACCCTGCAGGGTCATTAGTGCCCACGTGTATAAGTAGCATGGGGTAGTAGTCAGACCCTCAGGAAAATGAGCCAGGGGTGTCTCTCAAGTGAGAAGCAAGGCAAAAACCACTGACCATACCCCAGACTAAGAAGCAGAAAGACACTCCCCACATGCCCCTTGCACATCAGAGCTTTGGGGGCCCAGGCTAGTAGATTTTGTGGGCTCCCCTAGGTTCTGGGGTGTGGCCAAAAATGAGGATTTCAGCATGTGGGAGGGGGCTGCCGGGAAGTGGGTTTGGGGTCTGAGCGGGAGGGAGAGTGAGGAGTGGGTTGGGATTGGTGGTTCTGGGAGGGTGGTAGGATGTTGGAGAGGGCTGGGGGTAGGAGGGCTGGGTGGGAAGTAGGATGCAGGAGCAGAGTTGGGGTGTGGGAGCTGGGTGCAGGAGCAGAGGGTGGGTGGGAGGAGTGCGGGAGCTGGGTGGGGGTGCAGGGTCTGAGTAATGAGGAGAGAGGTGCTTACCTGGTGCAGCTTCTTGGGGGTGCAGGGCTGGAGTGCCAGCATCACCTCCCTGATGCTGGGGGGGTTCCCCAAGTCTTAGGGGCCAGATCTAGGCAAGCCAGGGGCTGGATTCGGCCCCCCAAGCTGTAGGTTCCCCAGTAGAAGAACAAGATCACTATGATGGGGGCAAATATGTGCTATGCTTTTATTGCAGTGCAGGGGCTTAGCTAGGATGCAATTAACTAATGTAAGGCCACGCCTTAGTATCTGAAGCTGAATATGGTGGTGGAGGAGAAACTCACCCCCTTGTTTGTGGGTAATGCTTCTGTACAATTCTGCTGCTGACTTCACTTGTCGGATTCAAAGTGTCTCCTTTGTAGTGGGGTTTAAAAAGACAACCCATGTGCCTAATCTTTCACCTCCAACACTACAAAGCCTTTGAGACTCCCACTGTGGTTGCGCGAAGTACAGATTCGCACTTCAGTGGACTGCTTTAGATAACCCTTTCTGATGCTCTGCCTTTGCTTCCACCAGCAGAGACTTCACACACACAATTTGTCTGGGAGTGTAGAATGAAAAAATGACAAAAACGGTACCTGATGAAACAGGTTTTTGGGGGTTGTACTGTAATTGGCTATATACTGCAAAGAGAATAATTTCATACATGTCACTCTGCTGATACAGTATAGGCCTGGGGTATCAGAAGAGGAAGGCTCTCTTTTTCATACTTCAGAGGAGTAGCTGAGTTAGTCTGTAACAGGAAAAACTTAAGGTGCTACTAGACTAGTAGTTGTTTAAAGACTAACAAAACATGTAGATGGTATCATGAGCTTTTGTGGGCACAGATGACAGAAGTGTTAAAAGTCCAGATCCAAGAATAAATAAGGGAAGGAAGGAGGGAGGGGAAGAAGGAAGAGAAAGAAAGGAAAGGGGGGGGGGAAGGAGGGGAGGAAGAAAGCATAAGCTGTAAGTGCCTTTTTACACTCCTGTCATTTGACAAAGTGGGTTGTCAGATCATACTTTCACTGCATGACAATTCTTTGGTTTGAACTTAAATCCTCCTGAGTTCTTTGCTCTGTAACTAGCACTGGATTGTGTCTTGTTTGTGATACTTACTGGCTGTCATCTTAGTAATGGTTACAAAAAAGATGATCGTGCTGCACTGACACTTTTGCCCAGGTGGCACTGGTATCTTAGCCTGACTGCTGCTAGCTTTCCTATGCACATTGTAGGACTTTGGTGTGATATTACTCCATAGGTTGGTGTACATAAAGCCAGGTGTAAATGGGCAAGTTTCAGTACTATGTTGTCAATTAAAAGGAAGAAGGAATATCTGGCTAACTTGATGCCAGAGGGGTCCATGGCACACTGATAGGTCCCTAACATGTTGTAGCTTGAGGACTGCCACAACTGAGCATGGCAGCACTACCCGCACATGAACAATACGTCAAACTAGTCAGTTCCTGTTGTGTGAAGTACTCCGTGCAGCGTGACAAGCTCCCAGGCTCCTTACTGGCTATTTCTTTTAGCCAATGCCCGGTTCGAGGCCAGTTGTGGGCACAATGAATGAGCCTCAGCCCAGTCCCTGGGGGCTAGAGGGTAGCATCCCTTCTGCTGGGCTGGGCTTGGCTTGGCCCAGCTTTCCTTTATTCCAGGCCCCACCTGCTGCTTGCTTCGTGCACCCCGCTTCCCTGCTTGTGATAGGTAGGGCGAGTGGGTCCAGCTGGCTGTGCACACCAAGCCTGCCCTGCAGGGCACGTGCATGAGCGGCCTGCAGGCCTGAGCCCGGGCCCAGGCTTTGCATGCTTAACCTCGGTGTTCACACCCAGGGCATTGGCGCACCCCCCACGCAGAGGCTGCAAGGACCAGCCGCGTGCAGCAGAACACAACGCGGATTGGTCCCTGGAGCGCGCCGTAGGGCAGGCGGCGGGTGAAAGGGCTCCTGGGAGTTGTAGTTCGCGGCGCGACTCTTCCTCTCTGGGGCCGGCCTGGCGCGGAGGTTCGGTGCGTTCCGGGGGCGGAGGCTGCTGGTTGCTTCGTCACGAGCCAATCGG